GTTCCCCATCCCCCAATTCCCCAATAAAAATCTTTAAAAAAAAAAAAAGAGTTGGCTTGGGATGCCATCTCTGAGCAGTAGGGCCCCGGTTCAGATCCCACATGAGGGCCAGTGACGCTGCGCCTTCTACAGCTAAGATGGTGAACAACAGCTCGACCTGGAGCTGGGCTGCTGAGTCACCGGCGACAGCGTAGGCTGCAGTGGGACTGCAGTGGGCTGCCGTGAGCTATGTGAGTGGCTGGCAGCCAGCATGAGTGGCTGGCAGCTGGCATGAGCTTTCATGAGCTGCCAAGAGCCTCCGTGAGCGGCCATCCAATGGTCGGCGACCAATCTGCCTCAGTCGGGAAGAGCGAAATGATACCAACATGGGCCAATGAAGTGACGTCCTCCACAATTAGACTGAAAAACAAAAGGACAGCACCTTGTCTGTTCCCCTTCTCTTATTCCCAATGCTGTTCCCCTCCACCAATTCCCCGATAAAATCTTTAAAAAAAAAATGGCCTATTTGTAGCATGATCTGCTTCCGACTTAGACCTTCACTCTAGATGTAACGCTCTTTATGGAATGTTCTTCTCCCAGCTTTCCACTTGCTAACTCCTTAACTTCCAATCTTTGCTCAGACATTACCTTCTCTATCAACCCTACACTGATCACCTTATTTAAAACTGTACCATACCCCCCAGGCTTCTGCAGTTCATACCCTCCTTACCCTATTTTGCTCCTTTTTTTTATAATATCATCACCTTCTAACACACTGTATGGTTTACTTATATTTGTTAATTTGTGTGTTTCCTTCACAGAATGTGTAAGTTCCATAGAATAAAAATCTTGGTGTTCACTAATGTTTTCCAAATACATAGAACAGCGCCTGGGACAGATTATAAGCTAAATATCTATTGAATAAATGAATCCAAATCTAGATGTGAAGAAAACTGAGGCACACAAAGTGATAGTGAAGCTAACATATAGCAAACCCCCTTTGTTTGGTACATGGCTCCTACTGTCTCCAGAAGACATATCTGTGGGTCAGAACTTAGTGATAGGGTTGCTGAGCTCTGAATTGATGAACCTCAAAAGTCAGAAAACCAACATTGCACAATGATTAAATTTTAAAGACAGGTAGACAATTAGAAATGGAGTAGAATACAGAAGAGTAAAGAAACCTCCCAACTTATGTTGATGTATCCCAAAATAAGGGCAGAAATTAAAGATGAATGCAATTATTTACATATTTATTAATCAAATTTCTTTACATACTTTATTATTTGTTAAACACAAACTTTAAAAATCATATTGCTTATGTGCAATGTATTATCAGGTTTCTTTTTTAACCTTATAAAGGTATTTTCTATAGCCTATCAACTAATGTTTACTTATTTCAGATTTATTTCAATATTGTTCTATTTTCCTGTTTTCTACAGTTTGCACTTCATTTCTTTCTTTAGTCTTTCTTTTTCAATCAACTTTTACTGTTTTATATAGTTATGTGGTATATGCCGTAGCTTATGCTTCTGTTTCAATGGGCTTAACTTTTTATTTAACCAATTAAATTTTTTCTACCTTTCTCAACTCCTTGGTGCCTGTATGTCGCTTTTCTTGACTGTGCTTTTTTGTGATAACTACTCCTTTACATGGAGCCTTTTAAACCCAATTCCATATAAATTCTGAGATCAATTCTGCTTATTTTTCTCCTTTTATTTTGAAACCCAAAATATTTTGAGATTGCCTTCCCTTTTCTGTTTATATTTGATAATTCCATCTAAGTTAATATTGCTTCCTTTGCAATCTGTGTATCTTTTATTTCTTATTCTTGCTTTATTGCCCTGGTTTAAACTCCCAGTAGTACTATGCTGATTAAGAGGTAAGAGTGGACATCTTTGCCTCATTCCCAATCTTAGGGGAAAGCATTCAATCTTTTACCATTAAGCATAATGCTACAATAGCTATAGGTTTTTTGTAGATTTTCTTTATCAAATTATGGAAGTTCCCCTCATTTCTGGTTTTCTGGGAGTTTTTTTTAATCATGAATGGGTGAGTATTGGATTGTATGATATGCTTTTTCTGCATCGATTGATAGGATAATATAATTTTTCTTCTTTAGCCTGTTGATATGTTAGATTACATTGATTGGCTTTTTAACTGAAGTATAATTAACATACCATATAAGTCACATATTTAAAGCATACAATTTCATGGTTAATATATTCACATTTTGAACCATCATCAATAACTCCCAAATATTTTTATAGCCCCCAAAATAAAATCCTTACCCTTCAGCCGTTATCCCCTTGCTTTCTACTTCCTAGTCCCTGTCAGCCACTAACCTGCTCTCTGATTTATATATTTGCCTAATCTGGATATTTATACAAATGGAATCACACAATATGTGGCCCTTCGTAACTGACTTCTTTTATTTAGCATAATGTTTTCAAAGTTCATCTTTGTTGTAACATCATTCTTTTTCATGGCTTGATAATATTCCATTCTATAGACGTACCATATTTTGTTTATCCATTCATCAGTTGATAACATTTGAGTTGTTTCCACTTTTTGGCCATTATGAATAATGCTTCAATGAACATTACTGTCCAAGTTTTTGTGTGAACATATGTTTTCCACAGATGTACTTTTAAATATTGAACCAATTCTAAATATATGAAAGAAATCCCACTTGGTGGTGGTATATGATTCTTTTTATATGTTGCTAGATTTGATATTTTAATATTTTGTTGAGATTTTTGTGTCTATGTTCATTAGAGTTTGGTCTGTAGTTGTTTTTTTTAATTAAAATTTATTGGGGTGACAATGGTTAGTAAAATTACATAGGTTTCAAGTGTACAATTCTGTAATACATCATCTATATATAACATTGTGTGTTCACCAACCAGAGTCAGTTTTCCTTCCATCACCATATATTTGACCCATTTACCCTCATCTACCACCCCCTAACCCCCTTCCCCTCTGGTAACCTCTAAACTATTGTCTATGTCTATGAGTTTTTGTTTATTTGTTTGTCTTGTTCCTTTGTTGTTTTCAGTTTTATATCCCACATATCAATGATATCATATGGCTCTCAACATTTTCTGTCTCACTTATTTTGCTTAGCATAATAATCTCAAGATCCATCCATGTTGTCACAAATGGCACTGTTTCATCTTTTCTTACGGTAAAATAGTATTCCATTGTGTATACATATCACATCTTCTTTATCCAATCATCTATCGAAGGACACTTTGGTTGTTTCCATGTCTTGGCCACCGTAAATAAAGCTGCAATGAACATCAGAGCACATATATCTTGGATTCCTATATACTAATAATGAAATCTCAGAAAAAGAAATTTAAAAAAAAATTCCTTTTGCAATTGCAACCAAAAAATAATAAAATACCTAAGAATAAACTTAACCAAGGATGTGAAAGACCTATACACTGAAAACTATAAGACACTTTTCAAAGAAATTGAAAAAGTCACAAAGAAATGGAGACATCCCATATTCACGGATTAGAAGAATCAACAGAGTTAAAATGGCCATATCACCCAAAGCAACATACAGATTGAATGCAATACCCATCAAAATCCCAATGGCATTTTTTAAAGAAATAGAACAAAAAATTATGAGATTTGTATGGAACCACAAAAGACTCCAAATAGCCAAAGCAATCCTAAGAAAAAAGAATAATGCTGGAGGTATCACACTCTCTGACTTCAGCTTGTACTATAAAACAACAATACTTAAAACAGCATGGTGTTGGCAGAAAAACAGACACACTGACCAATGGAATAGAATTGAAAACCCAGAAATAAACCCATATAAATATGAACAGATTATTTTCAACAAAGGAGCCAAAAACATACAATGGAGAAAAGAAAGCCTCTTCAATAAAGGATAATGGAAAAACTGGAAAGCCACATGCAAAAGAATGAAACTAGACTGCTATCTGTCACCATGTACCAAAATTAACTGGATCAAAGACCTAAACATAAGGCCTGAAACCATAAACTGCATAGAAGAAAACAGGTACTAAACTTTTGGTCTGTAATTTTGTTTTCTTTGTATTGTCTTTGGTTTTAGTATCTGTACCAGCCTCATAAAATTATTGTAAAGTATGTCTTCCTCTTCTATTTCTGGAAGACATTGTATAAAATTGATCTTAATTCCTATTTAAATATTTAATATAATTCTCCAGGGAAACCATAAGTTCCTGGAGATTTATTTTTCAGGTTTTCCTTTATGAGATCAATTTCCTTAATTGTTATAGGACTATTCAAATTGTCTATTTCATCTTGATTAAACTTTGGTAGTTTGTGGTTTTTGAGGAATTGGTCCATTTCATTCAAGTATTCCAATTTCTTTCAAAATTTATTAACATAAAATTGTTTGTAGTATTCTAGTTTTATCCTTTTAATGGCTGAAGGATCTGTAGTGCTAGCCTGTTTCATTGCTGATATTGGTGATTTGTGTTTTCCTGATTTGTGTCAGGCTGGCTAAAGGTTTAACAATTTTACTGATTCTTTTTGAAGAATCAGTTTCTTGCATTGATTTTCTCTACTGTATTCCTATTTTCAATGTTATTTATTTCTGCTATTTATTAGTTCCTTTCTTTTCTGCTTGTTTGGGTTTGTTTGTTTTTCTTTTTCTCTTTTTTTTTTTCTTTTTTGAGATAGGAACTTACATTATTCATTTGAGACCTTTATTCTTTTCTAATATAAGTATTTAGTGCCGTAAATTACTCTTGCAGCTCTGCTTTAGTTGTATCCCACAAATCTTAATGTTGCATTTTCATTTTCATTCAGTTCAGTGTGTTTTTTTTATTCCCCATGAGACTTCTTCATTGACCTATCAACTATTTAGAATTGTGTTGCATAATTTTCAGGTATTTAGAGATCTTCTTGCTCTCTTTCCATTATTGATTTCCAGTTTGATTCTATTATGGTCAGACAGCATCCCGTATATGGTTTCAGTATTTGTTGAAATTTGTTTTATAGGATATGGTCTATGTATATGAATGTTCCATGGGTATTGAAAAGAATGTGTACTCTGCTGTTGTATGGCACAATCCATAAATATCAATTAGATCCTGTTGGCTGATGGTACTGCTCAGTTCTATAATTTTGCTGATTTTCTGTCTAACAGTTCTATCAATTCCTAGAAAGGGGTGTTGGAGGCCCCAACGATAATTGTGGATTTGTCTATTTCTTCCAGCAGCTTTATCATATTTGATTATTTGTTTTCCACGCATTTTGAAGCTCTGTTGTTTGGTGCATACACATTTAGGATTGCTGTGCCATCTTTGTGGACTGATCCTCATGTAGGTAAATATTATCAGGCTCTGTGCTACAAAGGGCAATAGTCCCAGGCAATTTGTGATCAGGGCATATGAGTAGTTCAAATGAAATATTATAAATGTGCAAAACATATTTTTTATGTTTTTTGAAATAGAGTGATTTTTTTAAATCAATTTGAGGTTCACAGAAAAACTGAGCAGAAAGCACAGAGTTCCCTTGTATGCCCTGACTTCACACCAGCATAGCCTCATCCACCATCAACACCCTACAACAGAGTGGTCCATTTGTTATAATCTTTGTTAAATCTATGAGCCTACATGGACACATCATTACCACTCGAAGTCTATAGGTTTCAGCAGGGTTCACTCTTGGTACTGTATATTTTATGAGTCTTGACAAACCTATATGACATGTATCTACCATTATAGTTATACAGAATAATTTTACTGCCCTAAAAATCTTCTGTGCTCCCCCTATTCATCCCTCCCTCCCCCTTATTCTCTGCTAGCCACTGATCATTTTACTGTTTCCTCACAAACCACAGACTTTTAACCAAGTTAAGATTAGTTAAGATAGGCTAACCATTGTAATAAACATACACAAAAATATATAATGCTTCAAACTTGATTAAAAATATTTTTTTCTCTCATATAAAGTCTAAAACAATATATGTTATTGGAGGGCACCTCTCCTCCATGATTCAAGTTCCTTTCATCTTGTGGCTCTGCTGTTTTTAACATGTGGTTTCTATAGTCATTCATCTGCATCACAGATGCAAAAGGAATGTGGAAGGGATTTTTTAGGGTCTGGGATGGCATATACTTGGTAAAGCTCAGTCTTCTGGCTACTCCCCATTGCGGTGGAGGCCAGGAAATGTTTTCTAGCTGTGTGCTCAGGAAGAAGAGGAAATGGGTTAGTGAACATCTAGCCAGTCTGTGTCACAGATCTGTGGAACCCAAAGAAATCCATGGATAGACTTTAGGGGATTGATTAATCATTCAGAAGATATATGCAAAATGTTGTCTTCATTTGCATTTTCCTTGGGAGAGGGAAAGAAGGACTATCTCTGATTGTATTGATTAGGAAAGTAGTATGTTGGAGAAGTTCGAATTTAAACTGAGACTTTAAAATTGGTAGAGATGGGAAGGGTAGGGATAAAAGGTAAGGGCAATCTAGGCAAAAAAAAAACAATGCAAGCAGAGTCCCAAAGATGTGAGATGACAATGGATATTTGAAAAAAGGCTTAAAGCTCAGACTAGCTGAAGAATTGAGTTTACTTTGAAGAATATCTATTTAGTCAGTCAGCAAGTATATACAGGCTCCTCCTAGATGCCAGGGACTACAGTAGGCACTGGCTTTATAAGGATGAAAACAAAGGAAGAAGTACGATTAAACAACATGATATGAAGAGTGTTTCTAGGGACACGTAGGATGCATTGGGAGCCTGCTACAAGGACACCTCACCTTACATAGAATGTTAGGGAGCCATCCTACAAAACGGAGCCCTGAAGGATAAGCAGGAGTTAGCTAAGCTAAGAGTGGGCAGAGGAGAGCCATAGTCCAGGCTGGGAGGCATAACAAGAGTATGTAGAATATATGAATGACTGCTAGAAGGCCTCTGTGGCTGAGGCCAAGAGTGCAAGAGGACAGGTGGTATTGAAATGAGGCTAAAGAGTTAGATGGGGCCCGGATACAGAAAGAAGTTACCTTGTAAGTTAAGGTATTGGGATGTTAACCTAAGGACAACAAAAAGGGTTTTAAGCAGGGAGGTGGAAGGAGTGCGCTTGAATTAAAACCATTCCAGCTGCAGAATGGAAAATGAATTGGAAGAGAGCAAGACTTAATGTAAGAATATTGTTTTGTGGATGAATGTAATAGTTTATGGTCTAAATGACAGTGGCCTAGACTACGGTAATGGCGGTAATGATGCAGAAGGGGTAGGTAGATTTGAGAGCTGAGAGGAATGTCCCACAGGATTTGGTCTTTACAGGCTGTGGAGGTTAAATGAGAAGTCAAGAACGTCTACCAGGCTTTCGGTCAAAGGAACTGAGTAGATATTGGTGCTAATACTAAGCTAAAAAGCTGATTTGAACTGAAATTTCAGTTTAGGAAGTTGAGCTTAAATTGAGGTCGAATTTGAATTGCCAGGTGGAGACATACATAAAACAGTGGGATTTATGTGTCTAGAACTCAATGGATAGATCAAGAATGACAATATAGATCTGGGAATTGTCAACAAGGAAACAGAAACCTTGGGAACTGATAAGATTTTTAAGTACAGACTACAGAGTAAGCAGGAAGCAGACTCGAGACAGATTTTTGACAAATACCCAAAGAGTGATAGAGACCCTGAGTGTGGAAAGAGGCTGAGGAATGACTATGGAAGGAGGAGGGAAAGCAGAGGGAAGCAAAGGAAGAGAGTGCTTTAAGGAGCAGTCAAGGTGCCGTGGAAAAGTTAAGATGGATAAGGATAAAAAGCGCTTATTGGATTCAGTGACAAGATGGAGATAAATAATTCCAATGAAGTAGCAACAGCCCACTGGTGCACTGCAGAGTGAGATACAGGACAGGAGACAGTTTTCGGAGCAGTTGATTTGGAGTCAAGAATAAAGAGTGGTGACAGGAGGGAGAGGGGCCATCAAGGAAGAGTTTCTGTTTGTTGATATAGTACAGATTTAAGCGTGTTTGTTACAATTTTGAGCACTTGGAAGAAAGATACCAGAGTGTGGAAAGCCTGGAATTCTAAGTAGGAGACTTTGTTCTCAGGCAATTGGGAACCATTTCAAGAAGGAGAATGGCACGTTTATTGTCATGCTGCAGGAAGACTTATCTTGGAGTTGGGTAATGCAGATCCCAGGGGACATCCTACACTAAAGAAACTCATCCTGCCTTAAAACAAAGCAGATGTCTTAGTGTTGGGTTCTAGGTGAGGGCTTCAGCAGGATCTTTCACTATGCTTTTGTGGCAGTCTTTACAGCTTTGCTTCAAAACTGTTTCTCATTATCTCAGTTTTCTTACAGGACAAACATATTTGTTAAGCTTCATTTAGTTTGCAATTGTTCCAACCTTGATATCATTATAATTAGATGTAAAAGGCGAGTTCAACAGTCAGCCTACTTAGTTGATAAAACGTAACCAATTCTGTGTTTCCTTTTAGTCCTAAGATCCTTAAGTAACTCTTTTGCCCCAATATATCAATCTTTGTCATAAACAGCAGCACAGGAATGAAGAGAAAAGCTATTTCAAGTGCAAATTAATGTGTTGTGTGGCTGGGGGAAGGAAGAAGGGATGGTGTTTAATGGATTTAAATGAAAGAATACCAGTCATACATTTAGAGCAAAAGCAAATCTTAAATTTGCTTGGTAAACAAGATTTAATACAAGACAAGAAATATAGACCCAAAGGGGAAGGTGCGTGAGCTTCAATATCTCCAGTCTTGTTCATAAATCACAATATTGATCAAATATAAATTAATGCATGAATGTATACATTTTTGTATGGGAACTTATGAAACCTCATTTATTATGCTGGAATGAAGCAGAAAGCAATTTTTATATTATGACCACCTAAATTAACCATTTAGCATTTTAAAAAATCTTAGCTGAATGGATCTTAGCTACATGAATCTATTCTTTACATCTCCACTTCTCAAAAGAAAAATGTATTGTGAACTATGGCTCCCACTGTAGTTTTTGCTTTGGTTCCTCGGGAAGAGAACTTAAGACCAAGGGGTGAGCATTAAATGACAATGTTCATGAAAAGAGATGAAGAAAGGAATGTCTGAGAGTTTCACTTGTGATTCTACTATCCATTTCCTCCCAATGACCAATAATATATCCTGGGAGAGTCCACTGCACATTTTATTTGACTTTCTCCCTTGGAGAGATTTGCTTTGCTAAAACTCTACCCTTCAAATAATGGTTATTGTTATTGTTCAAACTGAAATATCAGACAACATGCATATTTGTATATTCTATAAGTAAATGTATAATTATATAAGCTATTCAATGATACATTTTAAAATATTCAGTACCTTTATAAGACACCATGAAATATTACGTCCTTGGGGGCGGAGATATCGCGAAAAAAAGATGCAGATGTAGTAAATCAGTGAAAATAGTGCCTAATTAGAAAGGGGAGAAAAAGATCACTTTTCAGTAGAATTAATAGCAAGTTTCCTTCTGTAACCCCCACCCCCAAACCCTAGATCAGTATTCTTAACTCTGGCTGAGCTGTCAGAACCTGTGTGGCTTTTTAAAAACATGTGCCAGGTCCCCACTCCAGATATACTAAATCCAAATATCCAGAGTTTGCCTCTCCTTGCTCTACATTTATCTTTTTTAAAACCCTTTCTTCATCCTGATGTACAGTCAGGGTTGAAGTCACTGCTTCAGAGCCCACTGCCACAAATGAGTTGTTGGAGAAGCAACATACAGGATGATATGAGGATCAGAGAAACCTAATAACAGGAGATGTTTTAGTGTTAGCTAAAATTCTCTAGGCCTTTGATTGGAGGGATAAGTTAAGTTGTAGGACTGGGTACATGGCTATAAGGGCACAAAAAATACAGAAGGTAAGCCTTCTCTTGGACTACTTGACTTTGTAACATCCTAGACAGTTTAGAAAATTGGTGTTCAATTAAAGTTCACTCGTAAGAAACAAATGTGAGGCAGTAAGATACAAGAAATCTAATGTAGAGAAAGGGTCCCAAGTTACAACTCAAAATTCAAGAGGTCTTGAGCTGCTAGTACTCAGTATTTGATATATGGCTAGTGTGAAACAAACTGAATTGAGATCATCTGTGAGTATATGTAAGTGTAAAATACACAAATTTTCAAAGACATAGTGTGAAAAACTAAGATGTATCATTTATAATTTTATATTGATTGCATGTGAAAATATTTTGAATTATTGCACTATTAAAACTGTTTCTCACTTTTTATTGGGCACCTAGAAACCTTAAAACTACACTATGTTCGTCGCATTATATTTCTAGAGGACGATGCTAGTGATTAACACTAACCTGGGGCGACTACCTGGTACTAAAAGGGGTAGGGGGGTGAGTCATAGACTTAGATGGAGGAAATAGGCTTTAAAAAGCCATTTAAAAATGAACCCCTAGAAAAGCAAACCACTGTGTAGGATCACATGGGCAATACCGTGGGAGGAGCATCTTGGAGGAGGAAACGATTTAGTTTCCTTGAAAAGCCACGAAGAACTGAAGTTCAGCATTTCAGGCTCCTGCTGTAACCAACCGGCCTTGAACTGGAAGCCCGGGCAGATGGACGTGGGAGGGTCCTGCCCCAAGGGAGGAGCATTCCCGGCTTAAGCAGGGAAGGCCCAGGAGCCACGCGGCTCAGGAAACCACCCCTGCGGCTGGATAGGACACTTCACTGGCTCTCCCTTCGACTCTCTTTAGGCTCTTACCCTAAAAGAGGGCAATCTCTTCCTGAACCTGGGGAAACAACACCCTTCGACCCACGGCTACACTCCATTCCAAGGCCGCTCCCACACTGCGCAAAAAGACCCGACCCAGGTGGGCAAAAGGGATGCGGAGAAATTAAGAAACCCAGGTGTGCGCTTCAATTGTACGCGCCTGCGCGAAAACCTACTCAATCCCTAGTTTCAGCCTCTGCTGTTGCGCCTTCATCCGGCCTCCTTTTCCCCGCCCCCACCTGGGTACGTCACAAAGAGTGACGTGTAAAGCGAACAATCACAATCCCTCTCCTCGTGATCTAGTAGGCAAAGGGAGGGAGAGGAGGGGGGAGGGGAGAGGACGAAAGGAGAAGGCTTC